GGCCCGAGTTCGGGACCCCTCATACATACGTGCCAGGAAGACCCCGGGCCAGAATTCTTTATTCTCGGTAGCATCGAGTAACATTTGGGGCTCGAAGTCATATAGGACTGTCCTCGCCAGTGGTTACTTATGGTAGCCAGTACGTAACAGATCCACATCGTTTTGATGTTGAGCTGCTTAGATCAATTACCACATATGTTTTGGATGTACATCCTCGGCTCTACACATAGCATTCAAAGATCCATAATAGCCTCCAGCGTTTTTTAATGGTTTAAAACATGAAGATAAGTTCAATAACACATTTCGCATGCATAATAGAATTAAAATGCGAACTAATATGAAACGCTGAACGACGACGCATAGATGCTCATAAGAGTTTAAAACATGCTTAAGCTGAGGATGGTTGTGAATTGTTTTCCTCCCCTATCTCTCCGTCCTTCTCTTGGCAGGTTGGGCTTAACCTGGAGTAAACATTTTCCAGCACAAAAGGCTTACAGTTGAATGATGGATGTTTGAGCACACCGGTAGGGTGAACCCATTGGGAGTATAACATGAGTGCAGAAATAAGCGATAGGGAGTGGGAGGAGCAGTTAATATTCAATATTTATATACAGGGACCATAGGCACGAGTGTCCCGCGTCGCGCTTGCGTCAGCTGCAAACATCCATGTCAACCATCCCTCCTATTTGACAAAGCAAGTTCTGGAGGCTTCTAGGCTGCATGATAACGGCTGTATCCTGTGTTCATGCCCCTAAGCTGTAAAAAACGAGACCAATAGAAAAGACGCGTAACATTTCAATGTTTCCAGCTGGCTTATTCTCTAAATACTGTGTGAGTGTTTGTGGTTAAGGTACAGCTCTTAGCACAGCACCGGGATGTGAACTTGTTTTGATCATTCATCGGGAGAGTCCTTAGTCAGGTGGGTAACCACATCACACACCACATCAACAACAACACACAAACCACACTACACACACACAGCTGCTTGGGGACTGCTTGAAATTTCTCGGTTATTCAACAGAAAGTGGAAGTATGACCATCCTCTCCGTGCAGTGATTGCACACAAATCAGAGCATCGAAATCAGCAGAGCTAATAGCATGACGCAGAGGAGGAGGAGGGTTGGACTCACTGGTTTATCGATTTACCTCGCTGAAAAACCGGCGCCAACCCTTGATGGTTTCATGTCAGGCGCAACGATCTTGTTGTGTTACATGACAACATTGTCATCCAGGATGCTCCGCATGCACAGCACTTCCAGCTACTTTACTATGACACACCACAGCACACACACACGCACACGCCACGATTCTCATCGACTGATGAGATGTTTGGAAGTCAGTTCTTCCTGCGACAGGACTTAAAGACATCTCTCCGCACTCAGCTCCCGCACACAAACAGACCAGGATGATAAGGCCTTGCGTTTGTTTTGCTTTCTTTTTCCTTTAAACCCCCCCCCCCTCCTCTGTTGGGGGGTGAGGAGGTGGGTGAGGAGAGAGACAGAAACATGTATATCTCACTGAGGGCCTGACACCTTTCCCCCAATCCTGACTCGTGCACTGTCCTTATCAGTCATTTTCAACCATAGAGGTGGGAATCAGACAGGTGGAGTTTTATTGTATCATTGTTTGTATTTTTTGCTGTCTTGTATTGTTTGCCCCATCTCAGGATGTGCATTGCAGACTAGTTCAGGCTATAAATTCTGTGGTATGTGCCATTGGTGGTCCATTTGGCAGACTCCGCCTGGCTCATTCTAAGGAAACGACAACACAACGATTCTTATATTTAGGTGAATATACAAAAATGAAATGATCCAACTGGAGGAAACAGATCAGAGTTGAGAAATATTTAAAGATGCTTTGGGTTGGAAGCTTGAAGATAGTTGATTGTTGAGTCCCAAAGCGTCTGTGTTTGCCGACCTGACAATGAGACTCGACAATCAACTATTCTCGTTTAGGCCCGGGGGATTCTTGCAGATGCCATTAGGAGCACTAAGAGGAGCCAGAGGAACCTGATTTTTCCACAGTTATCTATCTCATGTACTTCTGTCAGGATGTAGTAAAAGTTTATTTTGATAAACAATTACCTACTTAATTAACTCCTAACTTCTGCTTTGTATCGTACCAATCATCCTATCTAAATGAATGTTCTTTGCCACAATGTTTTGAAAACAACAAGCATAAATGCTACCATTATTATTACTAAATGATTAAATGAATTGAAAATGAATTGAAGATTGACTGCTGATTTATAAAAGGAACCTTCGTACAGCCCTAGTGACATGTACTCTGCTTACGTTTATTGTGTTGTTGCTATGTGACACCTGCCTGATACCAAATTCTTTTTCTGAGCGCTGAATAACAGAAACGTATCACTCTCATGGTCATTGTTATCTACTCATATCGTTCAGTGTAACCCTATGAACAGACGTGTTCATAACATCAGCATGAGGCTCCAACACTGCTAGAACCAGGCTGACATTGACCCCAACATAGCTTCTTACGTCAGCTACTATGTTTTTCTGCTGTTACATAACTTTATAACTGAGTTTGATGGCCTCTCCATATGCACTGTGTGTGTGTGTGTGTGTGTGTGTGTGTGTGAGTGAGTTGGTGAAAATGAGCACAGGAAGAGCGCTCTTACTCAAGGAGACACGTCCCCACTGGCTTTATTTTTGTAATCATAATACGTCAATATAATCGCAGTGCAAACACTTAGTATAAAATATTGTCTTTAACAAAATTTACATTCACATAAAACATCTCAATAAATACATCTTCAACAAAAGAACTTGACAAATATCGTATCATTCATAATATATCTCTTAAAAAGACTCTACAATGTACAATAATAGCTAGTAATACCTACATATAACAATTGAAACCCGTATCATACAGTATGAAAATATCCAATTTACAGGAAAAAATATTGTACAACTCCTTTCCATCAACTTTCCATCAACTGTTTAAAGCAAGTGTATAAAAATCCTCATTTTTAATCTCTTAGAAACTCAAAGTAAGCATTCGAGCTACTATATATACTTTAAAATCTATTTTAAATATGATAAAGAAGTACAACAACGTCATTTCAGTCAGGTTATGGTGTCCAAATAAATCTCTCCAAAATCAACACTTGCCGTCATTTTGAGTTACAAAACTGTTCAGGAAACAGCTCAAACAGTAAAAATACAGGCATTCAACAAGAGGAGAATCCACAATAACCGTAGCCACACATTCAGTTGTGCTACAGCTCAACAAGAAAAGTTTGATATGTTTATGAAAATAGGTTGGCACGTTTGAAAACCAGCTACCTGTTGACTACAGCAGGAGCGGGGAGGAGGAGGGACCCCCGGCCTGATGTCAAACCATCCTGAAAAAATGTCCTCAAAAAGGTCCGCACACCAAACTCATGAAGAAGACACGGGTCAAAAAAGCACCTTACATTCAAGAGGACCGCTACCTTTTAGCGCATGCACGAGGACTACATTAAAACAGAGTCACTGTGTGTCCGCTGCTCGGCCTGTATTAATGTTTCATCAAAGCATGCATGTAAGAGCCACAGGCTTGCAGGCAGTGCATGCTAAAACAGATTAGAGGAGAGTTAATGGCTGCGGTAAGCCGTACTGTGAGTAACATGCTATACCATAAAATAAATCATCTGGATTTGTATGAGGAAGCCAGACACAGAGGTTTGGGTGTCTCCTCATAAACAGCAGTTTTCTTCTCTTTACCAAAGCAGCTTTTAGTTCATAAAAATAGTAGAACAGAATATTTTAACAATAGAAAATATTTCTTAATAAACAAGCACGCAGAAAAAAGAAAAGGTTTTCTTTTTTTTCTTTTTAAATGAAGGAATCACACTCGCACAATACAGAAAATAATTTCTAAGTCATGCTTCAACTCCACAGAGATACAGACTGGTGTGGCTAGCTATGCACACTCTATTGGCTACATACACTATCAGGTCAAAATATAGGATCCAGCTGGCTACAGCATGCAAGGGTGAAGAGGCTGAGATAGAGAGACAAACCGCTTTATTGCTACACTTTGACGAGGAAGAATCTGGAAGTCAAGCATCACAGGGAAACAGACAGCAAACATGACTGGAATGCAGCAGTGGCATCATCATGCACTTAAAGACACAGAGCAGCTCGGCTCAGGGAATCAAGAGTTTAGCTCATGTGCTGTTAGAAGGTTAAAGTGTTGGGGGGGTTGTGGCGTAAGGGATCACCGACCCGGAAATGATTGAAGGCAATGCCCTGTCGCGTTTTGGCGAGTTTATACCTTTAACTGCCGTTTATAATTATACATTTGGCTTCATCTACTTTATAAACGTGTATCTCTTGGACTACAATGCCCCTGCTGATCAATTCATCTGAACTGGTGTCCAATAAATCAATAAAGGATCTAAAAGGCAACAAAACAAATGGCAAGAAACTCGTCGTGAGGAGCGGTCGCTAAGGCAACAGCACTGATTTGGTTTCATACTGAGAGACAAGGGTCAGCTAACGTTGTTAAAGGAATTCTTTCGCGTGTGGTCGTTGCGATAAGGTGGCGTGCTACACTATCAATTGTGCATTGTTTTTATTTCTATTTTTAAAAGTCGTGGACACAGTTTTGGGAGTCGACTCTGAGAATCGCGGAGACACCCTTTGCCTTTGATTGAACACAGAGCAGAACGTGGCTAAAGCAATCCTGTATCCTGTTCATGACACCGAACAGGACTCGAGTGTGGAGGGAGAGTGCGAAGGTCCGAGGCCGCCCCGGACTCCCGTGATCAATCCTAAACGCAGTCCAGGCCCCGAGTCCAGGCCTCCCCATTGGACGATCAGTGCCTCAGCCTCTCTGCGTCCCACAGACAGTAGAAGAAGAGTGGAGAACGGCTCTGTTTCTTCCTCTTTTAATAAACTCTTTGCTACCACTATCTCACCACCATCCGTGCTATTTCCCCACCTCCACTCACATTTTCTCGTTTTCCACGGTCACCATGGAGACAGCATCCGTCACACCATTGCCGTGGGGGCCGAGGGCAAGTACCTGGTGGTGCTGGTGGAGGTGTTGGGTTTGACCATGCTCGGGCTCGGGGTCCTGATGGTGGCGTAGGTGGTGACCGTGGGGGCGGGGCTGAGCCTGGTGCACACGCTGCCGTGGGTGAATGCGCTTGGCCGACGCTCGCCGTTGCCCGGCTGCTGCTGGATTTGTTTTGACGACCTGCTGCCCTCCCTGCGTCCTTCCAGGAAGTACGTGAGCATCTGACCTTTGCCCTTCACGCTGACCTGTCCGCGGCAGACGAAGGTGTAGTGGTCTGTGATGATACGGTGAACGTCCTCTGTCACCTGGAGGAAGAAACACACAAGGATGAGGTTTCTCAGTGTTTATCACATTGAGGTAATTCTCCACCAGAGTAGCTTTGCATGATTCCATCTTTAAAAACATCCTTATTTATCTTATACTGGCCTTTAAATTAGCTGGTCAGGCAAACAACTTTTTTAGTTTGAAGTTTAGTTGTTCAAACTCAGATCCAGTAACTGCACACTATGCCACTGGTGGCTGTGTTGGAAAGCAGCATGCATGACCCTTTCACAAGATGTGATGAGATCATTTTACTTTCCATTTATGGCTTTTTTTAAACTAAAACTAAAACTAATCAAAACCACAAACGGTTGTGCATTCATGTTTGCTAATTGTCTTTTTATTCAAATACTGGTATGTGCACCTTCAATATATATGTTTATTTTTTCTATGCTCTTTAATGTCATGTGTAACAGTATTTTCTGGCTGTTTATTTTGTGTTGCATTTATTGATAAAATGCTGCTTTCATGCTGCCTTTGGTCTGTCTAGTCTGATTTTATCAGATTAAGTAAAGTGACAGACCAACGTCTGCATACCTGTATCTTTCCTTGTACTCCAGTGCTGTCCATCCGGCTGGCTACGTTCACCGTGTTTCCCCAGATGTCATACTGAGGTCTTCTGGCTCCGATCACTCCTGCCACCACTGGTCCCACATTGATACCTGGAATGAACAGAACCAGACAGCTGAAACACACCCACAGAGGGTTGAACTGATTTCTTTTTACTTGTATTAGATGTTCCAATGACCCAAACAGTTGTTTTATTTCTTGCTGTGAGAAGTCATTGATCACCTCCAGAGTGAGGTGATCAATGACTTCTCTAAGTCTCTTGCGCCAGGTCCAAGTCCAATCTCAAGCCCTGTCAGACCAGAGTTGGGTCTTGTGTCCTTCAGGGCAGCTTCTAATCAAGTCACAAACCTTCTGTCCCTGCATGCAGCCGGTTAAGTGACATCAGTTCTGTGTTTATATAACCTTTTCATACACAGGCCTGACGATAACACACTCTAAAGTGTGTTTCTATCACTTTCACAGTCAGGTCAAAGCTTGACACTTGAATGTTTTTGCTTTCAAGTTTCATGTGAATTCTTTACAGAATCCAAATCCATTTCTGTGACTTGAGTCTCGAGTTTTTAATAACCAAAATAAACACATCCAGTTCAGCTCAGATCTTTTTTGCCCCTCGAGGGGAAATTTGATTTACAAAAGAGGGCAAAAACAGAAATACAACATACAAGTGGACATGGGACTTCAATCACCGCAGTTACAGAAAACAGCATCTGTAAATCTAAGGGTGGTTTGGTAAATCTAAGGGTGGTTTGATCCCTTAAATCTGTTCGTTTAAGGGATCAAACCACTGGAATGGCAGCCGTGCAGCTGAGCAGCGCAGTCGAGGTTCAGTGCAAATTAAGCACATTTATTGCCCTCAGAATAAGGAAATTTAAACCTGTTGCTTTTTACCTCAAGGGGCTTGAACAAATTCCTTGGAGTGAGTGGTCAGAGCGGGCTAAGATCCGCAACAGAGAGCTGCTGTGTGAACTAAATGATTTTTGTTTTTGAACTGTGAGCTTCCCATAGCAAGAAATACAACAAAAACTTAAGATGAACTTTCTAAAATAAAGCCACCAGTGCGTTATCCACATTAAACATGTTCATTCTGTGCAGAGTTAGGTGTCTGCAGGCTCTTTTTTGCAGATATAGTCATAGTTCAAGTTCTTGCACCGTTTTCAGGTGCTTGAAGGTTGGGTGGGAGGTTTTCCATGATTTTATTCCCATGTTTTAACACAGAAGTTCTTGTTTTCTCATTAAAAACAGAAACCTAACATACCGTATATAAACAGCTAGGTGTTGTGCTTATTCTAGACCACAGAATTTGTGTTAATTCAAAGCCTTGCATGAGGAGTTTAGCGAATGCAATTTTCCGTGACAGCTACATATGTTTAACTTGACGGTCATCCTTGGAAAGTGTAAGGGCAGGAACTCGGCACTTCACGGGTGAACTACAACCAATCGGATCAACGAACCAGTGAACCTGTTGAGAAGAGCACAAAACTTCTTTCCAGGGAGAAAAAAGCTAGCAGCATCTTCGCTAACCTCTACTGTCGGGGCAGAATCACAGGGAGCTCTTTAAAAGCTGCCCCTGTACTCTCATATGGGGGAGATATTTGTGTCATGATTTCTAAGGCAAATACATCATGAATTAGCTAATTACCTTTCCATTAATGTTGAGTAATTTGCTAATCTTTTCTCTTCACTGTTCTCTGTTTGCATGTTAAAGCAAAATACCTTTTTTTTATTGAGAAATTACAAATATGTGTTGTGTAAAATCTCTGTAAAACAGTCTCTGTTTTTTTCCATTGTAAATTCCATTGTACACACTTGAATCATTCTTATTGTATGTGTTTGTTACTTCTGCCTGCTTTTTTAATATATTTTATTTCATTTTCAGTATAGCTTTTACTAAATACCATCTTACCTGTAAAATCAATTTTTATCCTTGTATTCTATTTATAAAATCTACCTTATTTAATTTTTAATCCATTCTGTCTTATTATCGTCATCTGTGATGCACTTTAAACTGCACTCAACTGTATGAAAGGTGCTATACAAATACAGTTTGATTGATTGATTGATTGATTGAAAAGTGACTGTGATTGCACACTGATGCAGGTTTTAATATTCAACACAAAACATCTATCTGTATGCCTGCATAGCTGCTGCTCTCATTCTATGCATGTCTTTAGGAGTGCAAAATAAATAAAATAATGTCAACCAATTACACCACAATGCAAATCAGAGGTATTGCTTCCTCTTTACCACCCCAGGTCTGGAGGTTTAAGAGGCTGGATGGCAATACGGCACATGTAGACCAAGCAAATCTGGGACGAACTTTGTTTTTCTGCACTTTCTGGAAATTCAGCATTACGCAGTTTACCAAAAGTTTTGCTTCTGCAAAGAGGGTTCAGCCAAGCACACAAACATATGGAGCCCCACAGTCTGCAGACAGGATGGCACTGTATACACCAGGCTACACTGGGATTAAACAAGGGCTCCTGTTGCAGGCTCCCCACAGGATACCCAACACAATGGAACCCAGAACTTCAGGTCTCGCTGTGACGAGCTTCCTAGAGGGAACGCTCTCTCTGTGATGCATTTCCCTCCAAACTCACCGGCACTGAGAAGAGATGTAGATGGTGTCCAGTGCAATAGGTCATACGCTCCGACACCAGTGTTTATATAGACCTAGGTGTGTGTGTGTGTAATTTTACTCACCTACTCTCAGAACAAAGTCATTGTAAGACTGGTAGTTGATGGCATCCAGGACGTCAAACATCTCGATGGCGAAGTCTGACACTGTGCATAAATGTGAGGTGATGGACTTCTTCGCCTGTGAGTCAGAAAAACACAGAAATACCAATAAAGGACAGATTTATGCACAACAAGCACGCTTACATGCAATTTAGGAAGAGATATTACCCTCCGGTTCTTTCCCTGATGTGATTATGCACATTATTATCTACGAGCGCCACAGAAGTCAATCCACCTCTGTTGACGGACTGTTAAAGTTTTGCAGAAGTTGCAGAAAGGGCTCTTTTGTTTGTCAGCTTTGGAGGATTTAAAGAAACTTTATGAATGCAAAATACGCTGACGCCACAGAGGCCGGTAATCCCTCACAGAGGATTTGTGGATTGAAACGTGACAGCGTTCTAAATATCAAAACCAAGAAAAGAACTACCTTGAAATGCTCTCAAAAATGCAGTGTACTTTCTGAACAAAAACATGCTAATACCCTGAAAACACACACAAAACTCATACGGATCTAAATATAGCTACTGCATGTGTACCTTGGATGCAGTTGTAGGAACCAGCCCTACTGCAGCCATGTATGTACTGCCAATAGTCTTGATTTTTTCAATATCCTTGTAGCACTCTTTGTCCATCAACTGGAAGGAGAGAAAAAAAGAAGAAAAAAGGGATAAAAACAGGAGGAAAGCATTACAACTATTACAAATTTCAAATCAAATTGGAGTAAATTGTCAGTTTAAGTTTATATAGGTATATAGGTATTATAGGTTGTGCTGGCAAACAAATCCAAATGCAATTTAAAATGGACTATTTTTGCATGGTTGAGTAAATTAATGCTTTATGCTGATTATAGATTCAAGCAGGCCAAAAGTCATCTGTAAGTAATTCCTTATTTTGAAGAACTTTCCCAACCGCAACCATTGCTTATTATATTGCATCAATAAACACAGTATTTTTTAAACCCTCAGTCACGGCCACAATGTCATCTTTGAAAATTACATTATGGAGGTTATACTGCAACAGAGCTACCCTCCAAAGTCTCCGAGCAGGCAGACACGAAACCTGCAGGATGGATGTAAAAGCTGCAGATATTCAGGACGGAACAAAAACGTTTTGCTCGCCTCGTCAAAGTCAGCGATGATCTCATTGAGCAGCCTGAGACACTCGACGCCCATGTTGTTCCCGTCCAGCTCGATGTAGAAGTCGTTGAAGTTGGCGATGGAGGCGAACAACACTCCAACCTGAGCGTAGGACTGGTAGTACAGGTCCTGGAGAGGAGACACGTTACAGTGTGGCCTGATCAAGCTGTACTATACTGAAAACACCGGGCTTTCAACAAACTGTGGGCAGGAGGAATCACAAGGTATTAAAGGGTCAGTTCACAAACATTGCAATTGGGAACAGTATAATAATTTAACGATGTGTATTTTGATACAGAAATAGATTCCACATAGGGCGCACAGTAGTTGCTACAGCTGCTGCTTCACATTCAAGATTCAAGAGAGCTGCATTATCATGTTGTCTCCAACAGCAAAACTACAGTTGTATTTCGAATGAGGAAAATAAGGATATAAAACAACCAGTGCTGATTCCAATTTAGACCCAAATCTCAGGAATGAATATATGTGTATAAAGGGCAAACAAAGCAGCATGCTTGCTGGTCGCCACTGTAGCTCTCAATGCAATAAAAACATATTTTCAATCATTGTGTTGAAGCAGTGAAACTTTGAATTCCAGGCAGAAGAGTCCCACTGCGCTGTGTTATGAATACAGTGTATGGGTGAACTTTAGCCCAGAGGAAAGAGAGGAAGCCTTTCTATACACTGCAGCTCCGAGGGGTCACCAATGTGCCGGAAACATACTTCCTGACTTCCTGCCCCCAGTGTTTACTAGTCTCAGCCTCAGACGATCCCTGCACCGTCTGATGCATAGCCTGCTGATTGTTAAAGGATAAGACCGGCTTTACTTTAGCTTTTTATTATTATTAACAAATCCCTTGACAAGACCAAAACCAACACTGAATTGAACTTACTAACCAGTGCAGTCTGTGCGGCTGTGTGCCTCTGTGCCATCGCGCTCCATTGTCTTCTATTAAAAATAAACCACACTGGTGCATCTGGGTCATATTCCTTCATATCATGTGCAATGTATTTTATTCCTCTCAGCTCATCAAACCAGCAAAAGAAGTGGAGCCATGACTGCCGAGCATGCTCAGTGACGTCTGCTCGGGGTAGAAAATGCAGAGCTACAATGGCCGTGTTTTTATTAGTTTTTTAAAAAATAATAATGAACTTATATGACACAGAGACATAAGCTTTATGTGGCTTTACTTGTATCTCTTTAAGGTAATGCCAGGCAATATATTAGATGAACCGCTATACTGGTTTTAATTAGCTGTAACTAAACAGTTTCTTGTGTTATAGAACATATCCCATTAAATACAAATGTTTTATGTCAGTTTATAGTTCAGTAAAACTACATGTTTTGTTTTGAAAAGGAATCAATGCTAAAGTAATTTTTACGTTGAAGTTTGCACAATAAAAAACATTTTGATTCATTCATATATTGTATCATATTGCAAGGCCAAGATGACCTATATTTACTTCTGTATTTAACTTTTTACTTTTACTCACTACATTTTTACACAAATATCTGCTTTCTCCTCCTCACATTTTAAAAACAGACTTGTTACTTTAGTCTTAATGCATTTGAGGGGAATTATCGTTTTTGTTGTTGCAACATTGCACGCGATGCAAAAATCAATACCGGTGCATATCACACATGACAGACATAACCAGATGACACAGACGAGAGAGGGAGACCTGACCCTATTCGGAGTTTCAGTTAGCTTTGCACAGCCGGTAGAAATGTCCTTCAGAGAAACCGAGAGACTTTTTCACTTTTACTTGAGTAACTTTATTTAATACTTCTTCAAGTCTCCCCCTTCTTCTATTTGAGTAAATAATGTGTGTACTTGTGCCGCCTCTGGTCGACATGGGGAGTATTAGAGTACAGTTGTATAATGTGTTCTGTGGCTCTGGTCATCTGCGTTAATTCTTTACATTTTTAACAGAAGTAAGTAACAAACTGGGGGACATTGGAGTTTAAAAGACCAGGAAGAAAATAATATACGTTGTCAAGGTGCATTGTGGGATATGAAGGATCCTGCATTTTTCGAGCTTGACCCACTTTAGTGACCTAAAGTTTGAATATATCGGCTGTTGCGGCGTTCGTTTTGACCACCCTTCTAAAAGTGAAATACTAAACTGCTTTAGATCTGGTTTTTGTCTGTTGCGATCAATCAAAGCTCCCCTACCTCACTGTGGTCAATGTTCTTGCAGCTCTCGAGCTCATTATGCTACAATTTAGCCCAGATTTTGTTTTAATATGCTAAACAGGCTAAATTCTGGCTTGCAACATCAAAGCTGTATCCTAATTGTGGTTCTCTTCTATTTACACAAAATATTTTGTACTGTACAAAGTGTTATAATTACACAACCACCATCCAAATGAACAGGACCCTTCAGTTGATAACACTTCCTGCTTTTGTATCTATTTTGCAATGCTAAAAGTATATTTTAGAATATATACAACAATATAGGAAGAAACTGAAGGGTGCTGTTTGTAATAAAACCAAAAATATCTTAGTTTTTAACCTTAATATGTAATTTTCCTTTCACTTTGTTGCCTTTAATTTGTCCCTTGACAGGATTTATGGCACAGTTTTCACTTGTTATCAGCACACACTTAATGTTTCCGTCCACACTCGTAACTTTTACAAATTAAATTTGGATACTAACGTTGCACCTACAAACATTTCCATATGTAGTCTGAAGAATCTGGACCCAGCTTTAGTGTTTACAAACCGAGCCTGTCCTCCTGAGGGGCTATGAATTTCCTGAAAGGTTGTATGTTTTCATCACTTCCTGAGAAAGAGGGGGGGTGAGGAAGGAACAGAGATCAGTGGAGGGGATGTTCATCAATCAGTGGATACAGACACACAGGGCTGTCAGCTCACACTTCTACTTTAACACTACAACACATGGTTGGGGAAGCAGTGCCATTGTCCCAAACAGCTGGGATATTTTCCCACATTAAGACCCCAACACTTCCAGGGCATGTAGGAAATTGTATTGCAAGTTTTTTGGGGGGTTTTTTGCATATGAAAACAAAAATGAAGTAAGCGATCTACGATCCAAGACTGATTTACTGATTCATGGGTCAAAAGAAATCTTGATGCCTCGGTCAAACTGGGCTACATTTGGTTGAAAAGTGACAGTGTAGTTTTTTGACATCTGGGGCCTATACATTCACAGCAGCACAGGCTGACAGTGTAACCTGAAAAGGTGTATGGGTGGTACCTGCAGCAGCCATCTCAGCGACTGATGACATGCATTTATAACTGTTTACAGAACTTTATCGACCCAGAGATCCGAACGAAACAATTGTTTGTTTTAATTTACTGCAGCTGCTGATTGCAAAGTCCCATTCTGTAAAAGATCTTTTGCTCAGAAAGCCAGATCGCTTGAATTCTGCTGCTAACTTCATCACTTTTAAGAGCCACATCATCATTCCAGCAACAAACCTGGGATCATGTATAGTTCTTAAATGTCTTTAATTGTGTGTTTAATGTATCTTTTGTATTCTGTTTAACATCTTTTCATCGTGTTTTAACTTCTTATTTTCATAAAAGCCCTTCTAAAGATGGGTGTAGCCATAAACACTATAAAACTAGCATCGGATTGCTGTTTTCAGACTGTCTATGTTAACTGCATCTGTCTCTATCAAATAAACCACAAAGAAACAAATAATAAATGACAGAAACACTTATTCATCTTAAAATACAGAAACGTGTCCACTCGGCCGTCTTGGGATCTCATTTCATGATAGTTATTCAACCAAATCCAGATGTGTGTGCATGAAAATAACAAGTCTGAATAACAATATCTGTTACTGATTATGCTTAATATATTTTATGAATGCAGCAGGAGATGGATTATATGATTCAGCAGGACTGTGTTGTAAATGGAGTGGGAACTTTACTAACGTTATCAGCGACAAATCATTAACAGAGGTTTTCTCACGAGGCTTTTCATATAGAGCAGGTCTAGACTAGACTCCTTATAGAATGATTTACAGAGGCCCAAAAAGTCCCACCATGAGAAAGCACTTGGTGACAGCGGCAAGGAAAAACTTTCTTTTAAGAGGCAGAAACCTCGAGCAGAACCCAACTGTAGGTCGGCGGCCGTCCAGTATGTAATTAGTAGTCAATCTAGTAACTCACTTTCCCGATCCAGCAAGTGGTAAAAAAAGAATAAAACACAGAGTTTTTTCCAGAGCTGATGATGGAAGTAGGAGTAAGCTATCTCCCTTCCTTTTCCTCTCTGTTGAGAGTTTCACACGCTCAGTGCCGACCTGGCACTCGTGAGAAAATGGTAAACAGGTAAAGGGAAGTTTACCAGCATTTCAATTTTCCTGGAAACAGAAGTTTAGTAGTTTAGATATTGCACAGTTTTCCCCATGTTTGAGAGCAAGGTGGATAAAACAGGGTTGTTTTTCTAGGGGGGGGGGGCGTCTAGTTCTCCTTTGCCATAACAAGAAACCGACGGCATCTCGCTTGCGTGAAAGCTAAGAGGGTCTTTGTTGTTATTTGAAAAGCGCTAATAAATAAAACAATTTGGATATGGGCAAGTACAAATTTACTTTGGAGAAGTAGATTTCTGACCTACTTGACGTAACGTTGGACGCTGATTGTCAAGTCATCCTTTATTGATCCACATATCCTAAGTACTGGGAGCAGTGGGCAGCCACCGTCCTTGGTCAGGAGCGCTGACTGTAGAAATTAACCTAACATACATGTTTCTGATGGTAGGGGAAAACCCGAGGAAACCCACACAAAAACAGCGAGAACATGGAAACTCCACACAGAAAGGCCCTGTCCCAGTTGGGATCCAAACCGAGGACCTTCTTTCTGTGGCGACAGTGCTAACCACTGAGCCACATTGCGTGTTTGCCATGATATTTCTCTGTCATCAGTATTGAATTTTAAATTACGACCAGTTTAAGGCTGTAAAACTTGAGGTCCTAAAGTACATATAACTGTTGAAACTACAGAGGTAAACTGAATGTTTCAGTGTGTTGTTTGGGCTTGCTTCAAACTGATACATACGCTGTTAAAACAATGGTTTTATGGGTCTTAAGATACATTTAGTGAGTCTGCTATTCAAAATTAGGTTTATTTTTCAAAATGTTTGTTTTTCTTGTGTGATACTGTTTATTTTTTTATCTCTCCAGGTTTATAAAAATGTAATAAAAAATAAGTCAGGAGACATGAACCATTGACATCTGACATCTAAAGAATATTCTCTTTTTAGTCAAATCTGGCTCAGTTTTAACTCAGACGTCTCGGTGCCTTTTGACTTCCAAATCCCTAAACCAGCACCTCCTGGGAGTATCAGAAAACACTGGGAGGTTTTGAGTCTTTTGCCTGGTTTTCGGGGCGTTAACTCTCTTTCCAACGGGGAGTTGAACGAGCCTGAACACGTCTGTGGATGCTCACCATGTTCCTGGGATTTGACATGAGGAAGTGTTGAGCCACATGAGCTGGCAACAGGTTGAACAGGATCCTCTTGTTGTCCAGCTTCACCTTCTCCATGTCGTCTCTCTCCTCCTCCGCCTGCAATCACACAACGCACGAGTGGAGGAGGAGAGGTGGATTCAAAGTGAAACTGATGCTCCATTGTCTCAGTACAATGGAGCTTTAGTGTGGCACAAAGCTCAAAGGCAGATGTAATTGCTTATCCTTATCACTAGAGGGAGATAATGATTTGCAAACAACACAAACACTCACTGTCATTCTTAAAATAGAAACACTTTCATGATCCACTGAGACTGAATGCAAACAGACAAACATGCAATACAATCACCTGCTGAAAAACACTTGCATTAGATCAAAACCATTTCTACCTAAAACGGAGAATATTTCCACATGTTTTCATCAGAAATCAACGTGCTTCAAGAATTTCTTTTTTTCTTTTTTTTGTGAATAACATTTAGTTTTCTTCAATAATTACAATGAAACCAGGTGAATATACAACTGGAAACAAGAATGAATGAATGCATTAAAAAAGAGAGAGAAAAGAACCACAAGTTGCACAATTTAACATCAGCTCTTAAATATTTCTCTCCCCAGTGAGGAGCATCTGTGAGTACTAGTTCACATATAACATTAATAATAATCTGCATCATCTGTATACTCCTGCCTGAACATACATACAGGTCTATGTCATGCTGAATAGTCCAGGGGTGCACCAAACTTTAGTTTAGTAGTACATGAAAGGTGCACATTGGATCACGGACCCCCAATTTGAGAGGATCTTATATGTGAAGCTGAAACCATATTATCATCGCTATCTTGTTGCTGCTGTTTACATTCTCCGAGACACAAATTTAAAAAATGCACTGCAGGATTAAATGGTTGTATACGTATATGTACATATGTATATATGTGTGTGTATATATACGTATTCTTCTTCCTGATGCTTGGCCACTGTTCTATTAGCTCTGGTTGTTGTTTAAACTGCATGAAAATAACAACTTCATTTAGTTTTCTTCACAGAAATGACCAAAATGCTGAGATATATTACCTTGTGACCCTTTGAAGCTTTGGCGACCCTCAGTTTGGGAACCACTACGCTATTCATTACTTTACGATAAAAAGCTTTGTGCTGGATGAACCAATAAAAGGCAGATGCTTGCATGAGCAGTAACAGGTGCTGCATGTACAGACAGACGTACCTGAGTAGCCCACAGATAGTCGAGCCGCAGCTTCAGGTCCAGCTGCCTCGAATGCAGAGCCAGAGCTCCAGAAAACAGCAAGACCGCCAGCACAGGATCATACCCCCGAGTGTGGAGAAACCCTCCTCTGAAAGATACACACAAACAAAACAGGGTTGCTTTTTATATTTTATTAACTTTGTTTTAACAGCAAATATAAAAATACACTAAAAGGGAAATAAAAAACAGGAGAAACACAAAGTAAACCACGCTGGACCACAAGCACACATCTTCTCCATATAAAACGACACATTACACGCAGCTCAGTCTCACCCCACAGCTTGGCGATAGCCGCTGGTCTCCATGACGACCGTGTAGGTGACAGAGAGGAGGAGGAGCAGGAAGATCTTGGGGAGCGAGGAGACGCGGAGGTAGGGGACCAGAGTGAGGGTGCCGGCCACGCAGGACAGCAGGCCGTACGCCATGTTGGGACAGGCTCTGTCCGACGCTGTGCTGTTGGCGTCCAGGGGGACGTCCTCCAGTGCGTCGCTGGAGTTTGCCCCAACTCTCCCCCAAGGAACACATCCCACCTGGAGGAAGGGATGACACAGAGTGGTTACATAACGCTGTAAACAACCAACATATGTAAGCTTTTATCAGTCAGGACACTATTTATAATGACGCCATAAACACAAGATATAAAGGAGTGTATGTTTTGCTGGAAAGGTGGATTTAAAGTGTAACTAAACATTTACATTCTGTTAGCTCCCTCCCTTCCAGTCAGAGCTAACAGAGCTAACCAGCCATGAGCAGCTGCCGTCAGACTCACTGGAGCTTTTACAGTCACATTTACAGCCATTTGTAAAAGTTTCTGTATGCTACCTGTGTTGTAACGTAGCAGGCCACAGTCTGCAGAGTTGAAATATAAGTAGGGGGTTGGTTGGTGACGACAGCTGCCACCACATACATCACCTGCCTCCAGATCAGCCAACCAGAGGGTGGTCGCTATGTATTTTTATAGCAAAATATGAGGAATTCAAATACTAAAAAATGCACTAAAATGTCCAGATTTGGACATGAATCAGTCAACAACACTAGTAAATACCCATTTTGGGGGTTTAGTTACTCTTTAAAGCCACACTGGGAGGGCTTAGTGCTGAAACAGCAAGTTGAGCAATTGATTTAGTCTTTTCAATCAATGAAATCAGTATTTGATGACTGAATTATGGAGCCATTATTGCAGCAAAACTATTTATAAATGTGAGAGTTGTGTAACTGTATCTCAATCTGTGTGTCTGCGTAATCATGGCTGTATACAGTCTTATTTAAAGCTGTCTGACTGTTACCGTCACAAAGCAATAAGTTAAGACATCTCTTTTGGGTCTGTTTCCGCTAGTTCATCTTGATTAACAAAACAAAGAAAACACACACACAATAATTAGATGAACAAATGCTGTAGTTAGCAGGGTATTCCCTTCACTACATCCCTGTTGCTACACCTTTGTTTTACTGTGTTTTTACACTTACAGTAGTCACACACCCACGCACAGGCGCACACATCGGAGCCTGACCGAGTTCTGGGGCCGATGCTGACACCAACCTATTTGCGTTAAAAATATTTTAATGGGTATTTTACTTGAACAATAAGTGTTTTATTCTTCTGGGACCCTGCAGCACCATCTGCTCGGCTGTGATGTTTTATTCTGCCAACTCATGTACTGCAGAGACCCGCTAACAGTGAAGTCTGTTGGATAAACATTGAAATGATGACACTGTTTTTTTCAGCATGTACTATTTTGTTTTATTATCATTATTCTTATACAGGCCTTTAAGCCATTGTATGATTATATAAATACTTTAATCCCCACTATTTAGCATTTATAAGCATTTTTTTTGTACCAAACTACACAATGACTTTGTATGGAATTGTGCTTGACAAATAATCTTGAATTTATTTATTATATGTATATATAAAACCAGTGGTTGTGATTTTAAACCCACACTTACCACACAGGCCTGGGTGACAGAGTAGGTGAGAAGAACGAGGAAGACGCACAGCACTGTTCGGATCTGGATGGTGAGGCAGCCCGGTTGGCACTTAAACCGGAGAAAAAAAATAGAATGAGTCAGTAAATTAAGCACCTGTTTATCTACCTCAATAGCATTTTGGACACATCATTAGGCAGGAGTGCATTTTGTGCCGTGGCTCATTATGCGCGGGCCTATTAGAGGAGACGCTTTAAAGGATATGATGACAGCTCAATGTAGCGTGATGCCACAGTGTCATATAGGAGGGTGTGAACGTGATGTCAAAGCGAACCGGAGTGACCGGGGTCACTACAACCTGTCTGAGTACGTAACAGTCAGCATCTGCAGTCATTTACAGAGAAAGAAGTTACATCCAGAAACTGTGAAAGGTTTATTTATTTTACATTAAGGACACTTCGGTACGACCTTCATCAGATAAAATTTGTAAAAGCAAACAGCACCAATAGATACAACATCAGGCAGTTTTTACCGTCTGCTGAAGCCTAAAGAGAAGATGATGGTGAAGCAACACTTTCTACTTACTTTTGATTAATTGAGTTTATTTATAGATTATGAGACACAGGGGTTAAAAAGTTATTGTTCTTTTGAGTTTACAATATTTTTCCACATAAAGTCCTTGTGAATTTGATGTGACTAGGCATCTGAATGCTTTCTGGCTTTGTTTACTGTAATGTAATGTTGAGAGTTAGCCAATTAAAGATCCAGTGTGTAACATTTAGGAGGATCTGTTGGCAGAAATTGAATATAATATTATAGTATGTTTTCATTAGTGTGTAATCCCTGAAAATAAAAATTGTTAGAATGAGTTTTTATCTACAGAGCGAGTCCCAGTGATGTATTACAGGGAGAACTGGATACAGCATTGGAGGCGCATGAAGTCAAAAAGGTTAAATTTCCTGGTATAAAACAACCTGACACTTCCACATAGAGCGGGCGCACTAGAGACTTCGCAGGCTGAGCCGCTAACTTCTGGTTTAGCCCTCCGCTATCTTGAATGGAGATAAATTGATCTTCTAGACTTTCCAAATGTTATCGGACCAAATGCATCAAATTATGATATGAAAACCATGTGTCCACCATGTTGAACCGCCATGTTTCTACAGTAGCCCAGAACGTACAAAACAAACACTGGCTCTACATAGGGCCCTTTGTGTTTTTTGTGAGTTTAACGGCCACCACAGTTTCTTCTACATGCTTGTAGCATATATAATAAATCCTGCACACTGGTGCTTTCATTGATTTGTCAAGTTACATAAAACCAATGGGCCACAATGTTTGATAATCAGTTAACTTAAAGTCATTTATCAAGCAAAAATAACAAATATTCACTGGTTCCAGCTGCTTAAATGTGAGGATT